TGCGTCTGCGATATTACATTGACCGCGAAAGCAGCAACGGCAAAAATACACATTCGTGCATCAACACGGGCATGCCCGCAGACGGCGTATCAAATTGCGTGCCGATTACACAAAGAGAACCCAGTGTTTTGACTGCGAACATGAAAAATCAGCCGATTACAACACTCCGTCCGGAGGTCCTGACCTCCTTCACGGAGTAATAATGTCAGAAGGAAGATCGTGTATTTACTTTAAAGCAAGTATCCCCAACCTTAGAATGCTTTAATTTGCAGGAATCTACCGTGAAAAATGCTCCGATTTCTTATCTAAAATGAGCAGGAAGCTAGGACGGAATCTGACCTTCACTGACTTAGATTCTTAGGATTTAGGTGAAATTATTTACTCCAAGGACACATCCTTGTTTATTTTTACGAAAGACTATAGGTACAACGCAACAAGCCTTCATCAGGCCATTTCTCACCGTTCCACACCTATTTCTCACCGTTCCATACCCATTTCTCACCGTTCCACACCCATTTCTCACCGTTCCACACCCATTTCTCACCGTTCCACACCCATTTCTCACCGCTCCACGACACGATTCCAAACGCTCCGCAACCATTTCTCACCGCTCCACGACACGATTCCAACCGCTCCGCAACCATTTCTCACCGCGCCGAGGCAAGATTCCACACCCATTTCCCACCGCGCCAAGGCAAGATTCCAACCGTTCCGAAGCAGGATTTCTCCGCGCTCCAGGGCAGAATTTCTCGTCGCTCCGCAGGGCAGAATTTCTCGTCGCTCCGCAGGGCAGAATTTCTCGTCGCTCCATGGCAGGAAGCCTCCTACCCCAGACTTGTGTACAGTGGACGGTCCCCAATTTTAATCTAAGGGCCCCTTATTTTCCCGAGAAATTTGCGATCGGGATAAATGGCTGTGGCCCCGTGGACTGCAGATGACTAACGTAAATGTGGAGTCTCATACTCCAGTTTCGGTGTCCCATTGGATATAATGGTAAAATACGCAACTTTATGGCTGTAAATCCAACAGAAGAAACAGTCTTTCCGGAGATTATTTTTATTTCTATAGGAAACACGCGCATCATGTAAACAACAACAAAATCATTCCAAAATTTAACCGGGAAGTAGCTTGTTGGGGAGAGGGGTTTTGATACTGTGTAGCATTTGACGTTATATTTCTCGTTGTTGTTGTTTTTCGTCGGAGTGGGTCGGGATAGAGTAGTAGTTTTGACCTGGCAGAGTCACGTGATATTATCGTTACGCTTTTTCAACCAATTCCCGACCATTCCGAGTAGATAATGGAGCAGTTGCAGGAATCACAACCGGCTTATCCCTATAACCTGATGTAGGTTTATCAGATTTAAAACTAATTTTCAGCAACTCATTTTCCTTGAAGATTTATGGCTTCTGATTTAGGACGATTTTTCAGAAACCTTACTTATTTTATAGCTAATTCCAGCACAAGTTTAATACAATTGAAATGAAAAATCAATGACAATAGCTACATCAATTAAAATACTTTGGTATGTGTGTATAATGTCAACTCCATGCTGCTTTTTTTTGTACGAAAAGTGATGCCATGGACACACGTTCTACTGCAGCGCCAGATCCCTTCCTTCGCCATTTTGACACTGGTGAGAAATTCGTGTGTTTTCCAATGAATGGCCCTGCAAGAAAGCATTTACATGAATTAGACTGAGTGAAATGTTTAAAAAAACATGTGACTGATACACACTTAAAAAGATGATAACGTTGAAGAACTTTATTAGCACATTTTTGTCACACTGGGCTAAGTGCAGGTCATTTCCTCTACTCTAGCTATAGTATGTCTTCCATTTTAATCCTTTTTTTACTCTCATAATCAAATCTCGTTTAGCGGATATAGAACTGCTCCGCCCACCCTTGGAGTTTGGTGCCATCCTCGGGCTAACGCCCTCGGACGGCACCAAACTCCTCGGGTGGGCGGAGCAGTTCTATATCAAACTACACGTAGAGATAATGCCAATAACCTCTACAAAGACGTGTGGGAAAAAATTTACCTCGAAAACTGCACAGCTGCGGAGTACAAAGCACTGATTTCCAAACTTGGGCGATATCTGCAGTCCTTCCTGCAGTAAAACTCGCGCGCTCTGAGAGTCAAAGGTCACAAAGCATGCCGGGAAATGACCCCTGAATATTGGGGACCGTCCACTGTACACAAGTCTGGGGTAGGAGGCTTCCTGCCATGGAGCGACGAGAAATTCTGCCCTGGAGCGACGAGAAATTCTGCCCTGGAGCGACGAGAGCCAACCTGCCCTGGAGCGACGAGAAATTCTGCCCTGGAGCGACGAGAAATTCTGC